GTGCAGGGTGGGCGAGAGGCAGCGGATGTTCATGTGGAGGGCTTGCAACAGGCGGTGGATGAGGCTGTGCAGGCAGGACGGCGGCGAGACGAGGGTGTGGGTGACGCACGATGTGYGGYCYRGGAGACARCGAYGGGTCTAGTCGTTCCGTTCTCGGGCCTGCACTTGGCTCAGGGCCGATAGTCGCAGCTGGTGCCGGTGGCAGTGCATGGTGTGCCGCCGCTCGTTATCACGGATTTGGGGTCCGAGCCGGTGGTTGCGCCACCGCGTCTTCCTAGTCACTTTGCTTCGCAGGAGGTCCGTCGTCCTTTGGATGCAGACGATTTGGCGAGAGAGGCTGTCCGCGATGTGACTCGCTTGGACCGGCGGGTCTTTGACCAGAGGCTACAGCATCCACCATGGTAGGCGATCCCTCCAGTTCCATGGGGTCCTGCGTCGCCGATGTGGTTTGGGTCTACCTCCACCGGAGCACGTACGGCGGGAGATGTTCCAGGGGTTTCAGGTGGCGTCGTGGAGACGGCGCCACGTACACGAGACATGCCACCCCCTCCTACTAGACCAGTTGTAGGTGATCCGTCATCGTCGCCCACAGGCAGAGGCTCTCGATCTCCACACACGCTTGGGAGGTCTAGGATTTGGGACACTACAGCCATTGTGGGGGACGTAGGTGACACAGCGTTGTTCGGGAGGACAAACATAGATTTGGATTCCACCCGCCATGTCACGGAGCACACTGCACGTCTACAGCCGGGTTTGGGACCCCGCGGCGGCAGGATGACCGCAGCGAGGGAGGTGGTAGCATCAGGTTGTGAGCCTCAGCGAGGTCGTGGCAGAGGAGTGTCCGCCGATAGCTTGGAGTACGCTCTGATAGCAGCGACGCGTGCCGTACATGAGCAAAGTCCACGCAAGCGCGGAGTGCCTCCTCGTCCACGCCCCGTGCCCGCACAGGGAGGAGATGCACTTGGAGAGACTTCGGGGGCAGAGGGGTGGGATGCCTCGTGGATCGCGCCGTGAGCAGACGGTTACAGAGGCTAGTGCGAGGGTTGTTGTGTTGAGGAAGGCAGGAGCCCCTCTCACCATCAAGGAGGATGATCCTGAGACAGATGTGGCAGTGCGGGAGGAGGACGAGGACTATGAGGGCGAGGAGAAGGGAGAGGAGGAGAACGAGAGAGGTTCCGATGGTGACTACGACCACGACGAGCACGAGCCCCCACCTCCCCCACCGAAAGGTGCACCCAGACGGCGCGTTGCGCAGACTTCTTCATCATCACGAGGGAGGAGGAGTTCAACATCCGGCACGCGAGGGGGTACGAGGAGACAGAGCGGGAAGGGGAAGAAGCGTCGTTGACTGATGAGGCCAACACTCCTTTTTCCCCTGCTCGCACTGCGGTTCGTCATGTTGTGAGGTCCTAGTTTTTTTAGTCGTCTCGTCTTGTCTTAGTGTTGTTAGGCTCTCAGTGGTTGTGTGCGCGCAGCGTGCTACAGATCTATTAGATGATGTTTCCTTTGTTTTCGGTGTGTATGATTTTGGTACCAGTATGGTGTTCGTAGAGTAGCGTTGGACCAGTAGGGTGTTCGCAGAGTAGCTACCACACGACTTGTACACTACAGTTTCGTTTGTTTTTTTTCGACATGTGGTACCACTGCCTTAGCAGTAGCCTGTAGGATACATTGCATATGTTGCATTTTTCATTTCTGTTTTCAGTGACAGGTACTTTGCGTCGTTGAGGACTTTACATGCACAGTACATTTTCCATGTACAGTTTCAGTTTCGACTGATGCTCGTCGTGGTCGGAATGCACGAGCTTTCGTGACCATTTTCATCTGGTGTGATTTTATATATTTCATCGTTGTTATCATTTGCAATCTCATTTCCAGCGTTTGACGCCGTTTGTTTCTTGTACAATTCTACTTTAGTTTTTTGCCTGAAGAGTTGCTTGTGTGGTTGTTCTTTTTTTTTTTCTTTTCTGTGTTGATTGTTGAATCAAATTATCATTGTATGAAGTACTAACTGATATTTGGGGGGGGAGGGGTTGGATGCAA